GCTCCAGATGTGTGATTAATGAAGGTGAGATCAACCAGCAATCCTTATGATGCCAAATTTTACTGAAATCGGTGGATTTCAAAAAAGTACACCCGCCATATTGGATCAGCCATCTTGAATTTTTACAATGTGAATTCATATTCGTAATCAGCGACCCAAAAAACCCCTTTATACAAAATCTGGTCAAAATCCGCTCAGAATTTGAAAATAGCGATTCCTGCTCGGTTTTTTGAGGTTAGAAAAAAACCCACACGTTCTAGCTCAATTCTGACAGTGGATTTGAATTCAGCAGAGTCTTTTACATAAAAATGTACTATTTGATGTGGAAATAATTTTTTTTCCAAATTTTCCCAGTAAATTTTCATCAATTTTCACTGTTTTTCACAAGTTTTTTGAGGTTAGGAAAAAATTGTGACGTGATGGGCCAATTCTGACCCCAGATTCGTGTTCAGGAGGCCAAATTACTACGAAAAATATATGTCGCATAAAAAGTATACCCAACTTTTTTTTTCTGTGTGGTAATCAATCAAGTAATATGAAGTACTCGTATTTTTCCATATTCCATTTCTAAGACAGTTATCTCATTACATATTTACCTAATTATAAGTTGTTTCCTCTTAACTATACTGATAATTCAAAGATTTAGTAAATAAGCAATTAAATTGTATTCACAAGATATTATTAGTAAACTTCCGTGACTACCCCAACACAAAGGATGGTCATTCACGTCTGATAGAATTATTTTTGTACCTTATCTGTTTGTTCGAACATTAGACTGTTTAAGTAATTATTTCACTGATAGATGTAAATATATAAAACTCTAATCTGGCTCAACAGAGAACTATTAACAATTAACAATTAACATTACAACCACTATCGTAGTTATCTACTATAAGTTTAAGTGTAACATTTATGTAACTTAAGTCAAATAAATAATTCTACAGAGTCAGTGCATTTTTTCCAATTGACCAATTGAGCGAAAGGGTCGTCTGTTGATACCATTACAATTCACTAGTTTTTTGAAAAGTCTAGAAGTTGAACTAAAGTTGTAGATATATTATAATATACAATTTTTCTTCTTACAAACGATATCTCACAAACATGAAGATAAAATTCATATTAGCTACTATAATATATAATATATAAGCTCGTTTCTAGATAAAAAAAAAATAAAAACGAATAAGAGCCATTTTCAGGAACTGCGTCAAGATTGTAGAAAAATGCTCAGACCCGTCGATTTTAGATTAAAGGGGGACATTCTTTGCTGGTATTTTTGACTCTGCCACTTTCACCGCCAAGCAAGGGTAATCATCACCCCAAAATATTTAAATGGCATTGGAGGTTGAGTAATATTTCTTTTGAAAGCTCTTGCAATTCTCTTTACAACAGACTTTAAATTTTATAATTCCGCCCAATACTTATTAAGAATTTTGATTTTAAAGTTGAAACTTAATGTATAAACAATTAGTAACGGTAAAAATGTCAGTCATTCGAGTTAAGTACGCCAATGGTATAAATTTAGTATTTCTTGCGTTACATTGGTTTTTGGCGATTTGTTATCACTTTCGTAAAAAAAACACAATTGTAAAAAACAGAAATGAATGCTATACACACACAATGAACGTAAAATTAGTGGATTCCAAATTATTTTCTAGTATTATTTGGAAGCGTTGGTTGGTAGTTTATTTAATTGTGTTTTTGAAAATTAAACACTATGGTTTATTCCATTGCGGAAAGGGTAGATATCATTTCGCTTTACTTTATGAACAATAAATGTGCGAATAGAACAGCTCAGCTATTTAATGAACAACATCAAGATCGACATGTCAGGAGGAAGTATGTTCTAGAGTTAGTAAAAAAATTTCAAGAGACAGGGAACGTAGCCAATAAAAAACGAGAAATTGAAAAACCTATAGTTAATGAAGCTAGTGAAGTTGCAGTTTTGGGACAAGTTCATCTTGATCCTACATTAAGTACGAGGCAGCTGGCATCTGTGTCTGGGATCAATCGAACTAGCATACAAACCATTTTGAAGAAGAATAAATTCCATCCATACAAAATACATTTAGTCCAGGAACTTCATGAGGATGATTATGACCGCCGTTTGCAATTTTGCGAAATAATGAGTGAGCGAGCAGGGAACGATCCACAGTTCCTTTTTAACATCTGTTTTTCTGATGAATGCAGTTTTTTCTTGAACGGGACGGTAAATCGTCACAATTGCCGCTATTGGTCCGATTCAAACCCAAGAGTTTTTCACGAGGTGCATACACAGCAACCGGAAAAATTAAATGTATGGGCTGGAATTTTCGGTGACCGGCTGGTGGGTCCTTTTTTTCTACCTGGTAATTTGACTGGCCAAATGTATTTGCAATTACTGGAAGACGCTATTGACCCTGTCTCGACTAATATTATTGAAAATGTTCCAGAGTATGATGAAGATCATTTGATTTTGCAACAGGACGGTGCTCCTCCGCATTATGCGTTAATTGTCCGTCAGTATTTGGACCAACGTTTTCTACGGAATGGGATTGGGAGAAGAGACAGCATTGCGTGGCCTCCACGATCACCGGATTTATCGCCCCATGATTTCTTTTTGTGGGGATACCTAAAAAGTAAAATTTATAAAACACAGCCAGCCAGCTAGATTTGCGACAAAGAATCGTCGACGAATGCCGTCGAATCACTCCGGAAATGCTTCGGAATGTGCGCGAACGTTTCGAACAAAATCTTTGGGTAGTAACAACTAAGTAGTACCTAAGTAATTATAAGATTTAAGGTCTGTTGTAAAAAGAATTGTTAGAGCTTTCAAAAGAAATATTACTCAACCCCCGATGCCATTTAAATATTTTGGGGTGATGCTTACTCTTGCTTGGGGGTGAAAGTGGCGGAGTCAAAAATACTAGCAAAGAATGTCCCCCTTTAATCTAAAATCGATGGGTCTGAGCGTTTTTCTCCAATCTTGACGCAGTTCCTGAAAATGGCTCTGTTTCGTTCATTTGGCCACCCTGTATATAGAAATAAATAATAACGTACGTAATACGTAATAACTCTAGATGTAATTTTTATAAAGTTTTTTTTTTAAATCATTAAATGGATTCGACAAAGAATCGTATTGCCAGATCAGTTAGTAGCGGTTTGTTATTTATTGACAAGCAGTAAACAACAATTAATATTTTATTTTGTAGGAGGAGGGGGTAAGGTTGTGTCTCTCAAAAATTGGGCCCTCAAAAAGTCAAGGTTTGCGCCTTCGTCGTGAAGCCCTGGGTTCTACTAGTTCTTCAATTTTAATTTTTTTATGAGCGAGGTGCAATAAACATGCAAATGTGGTATAAATTTCTGTCCACAATTCGGTGATCTGAGCTCCTCCATCCCAAAGATGATTTCCCACTCGTCATATACTGTCGCGTGGGAAACAGTAGATAACATCACGCAAACGCTAGCGTAACGTATTTTAAGCTACTACTATAGTATTTTCATTTTCAAGATAGAGTGAAAATAAACAAATATACGCACGTTTCACGTGTTCAGCATAAATCGTAAAATTGAACAGGGGCGGACTTAAAACTAACTAGGTATGAATAAAATTAAACAACAATATTTTACTTTGTGATTCGTAATTTGCCGAAAGTAGATATCCAAAATATATACTGAATAATAATCAAATAATAAATTTGAAAAACTTAAAAATATTCCCTATTGTAAAAAAGAACTCAATTTGAAAAAAAAAGAAACTCTTCGGATGAACTGGAAGTATTGTCATCACCTATATTAATAATAATAATAATAATAATACATTTATTCTCAACGGATTAATACCCAATTACAGAGAAAAAAAAATATATGTAAGACAAAGTGTATAACAAAAAAAGTAGTTCACAATATACGACAAAAAAAAAAAAGGAAAAAGAAAAACAACAATTAAGCAGGATAACCCATCAATAACTATAGCGTGGACTTAAACTTAGAAATAATATAACTTATACCATGAAAATTGATGTCGCACTGATCGGATATACCATTGAATAATTGACACATAGTATAAATCGGTGATTTAACTAATATATTAGTTCTAGGGGTTTTACAATAAAAAGTAGGCTTATATCTTGACTGGGCTCTTGGCACTGAAAATGAAAATTGTTGCAAAAGATAGTCACAATCAATTGAGTTATTAAACAATTTACACAAAAAAGTTAACGCAGCTCAGTTTCTTCTGTCTGACAATGCAGGAAGACTGAAAGACTCGAGTAGAATTAGATTAATAATAAGACGCTCTACTTGTGTCAGTTGTGTCTCAATAATATTATCCAGGTTCCACATTTCAACTTCCATTTTTTGTTTTACATGCCCAATACATTTTTGCCATTTTTCCGGTAACGCATTATTTACTTAACTTAATTTAATACTTAATTTAGTAACGAGATATTGAAACTAAAATAGCAATTCAAAATCCGACCCTGACCACTACCGTCTACAGCTACCTCCCACTTCTTCATGCAGTTTATGGCTGATCAGCCAATAAGAATGCGATGAGGAAGGAGGCTCGATCTGATCACGTGAATAGCATGCACCAGTCTATGTTTACATTTACTCTATCTTGAAATTGAAAATAGCTAGATATGCTAGATATGTGCTACTACCATCATTATAAAGAATGAACTGGAAAATTTTGTTGGCGGGAATATCCTGTTGTCCCTACTGTTCTCTTTATACTGTGACATAATATATAACATATCTTATATATGTATAAGTAGCACAGTATATTTTGACTGTTGATATTGGTTGTGTATAGCTGAGAATTTTTGTGCATTATGATTTCGTTCGTACAGTCGACAATGGCGAAATTAATAATGATTTATGTTTATCTGGTGTTATCAGTGTTCAGTGTTACCAGTCAGTATGGTGAGTTTTCTAAATGTTTCAATTTAACTGCATTTCTTAATATAGTTAGTTGGCCGATGTATAACTTAAAAGGGCTTATGTGTCGGCCCAATCTGATCAAAATGAAGTGTATGACTTATAATAAAGTTAACTGATTGATACACAGCACGCATTTTAAGTTGTATCAAATTACAATAGGTATGTGTTGATTTCTTCTTGCGATATTGAATATAAATAAATATAAATATAAATTTCGTTTACCGTTAATACCGTTTTGTAAATACAATAACATTTCTCTCAATCACCGAATGGTCTGGCTATTAAAATTTACAATCATTTACCTCCTGAAATAACAGACTCACTTACACAAGGTGTTTTTAAGAGCAAATTAAAGAAGTTTTTATTGGAACGGTCTTTGTATAGTCGAAATGAATTCTTTCCTGTAGATTATACCGGCACTGACAAATAACTATCATTTAATTTTTTTTCTTATTTGATAATATGATCTCTGGAAAATAAATGAATTTGAATTTGAATTTGAATTTTGAATAAGTAAAAACTGAGGCAAAAAATCCAATGTTGTTTCTTTGTCTTTTAGAAGGAAGGTGGTTAATCCTATTGACATTATCATTAAATCATAATTAAAAAACCCTTGATAAACTAAAAATAAAAAAATCTTCACCAGAAGCAGTAGTTATCACAATGAATTTAAGAAATATTTCTTATTGACTGACTTGATTTTTTTCTGGCAGGCTGGTCTAGGTATTTGTACCTACCTATTCTGGTGTCTACTTATAAAATATCAAAATAAAAAAATAGCCCAAATGTCGAATGTACGAAATAAGCAAATCAAAATACCTACCTAGGTATTTTATCTAGTTGACATTTTGTGCCTTTTGTAGTTTTTAGAGAAAATTATTATTTTTTTATCATTAGCTTTTGACAAATTGTTATTATATTGTTGGTCAATAATGATTGACCAAGCGTTCGACCTTACCGTGACCCTGCTGTTCATTTGTTTCGCTGTTTCCGGATAAAAATAAAATTTGGAACACGACATTATCATACAGGTATGTGTAGGTATAACTACACTTAAACCAATTTTTACGATTTATAATAGGTAGTATTATTATGATTTCAGAATAGGAATTACTCAATTATGTTAATTGCTAAATAAAATAAATAAAGTTAGAATTAAAAATGTGAATTTACCTAATTAATTATTTATTTTATGTGGGTGAACACCTTGGAATGGGAGAATTCAAAAACTTGCAATTAATGTTTTTAAATTTGTGCGTCGACTTCCAATTTGGTACTATATCACACTTATATTTAAAAAAATTGCATTATACAGGTTGTGTCAAAATGTAGAGAATCACATATTTTTTTACTAAATATTATGTATTCAGTCAACGTGCCAGTAAAAAATATGACTAACCAATAAATATACCGTGTATCCTTAAATAAGGTACTGCCTGCTCTCTTATTGTTGATTTCTCTAGATAGGTAAAATAATTCTTGACACAAGTGGTGGATATCAGGATGCCATTGGTAGTGCTCATATTTGTGACACAAGGTGTTCAAAAAATTAAACAATATAAAATTTCCTTAAGAATAGTACCTTAATTTTTTACTTAATAAAATTGTTGGAATCTCAAGGGGTTGTTGAATACGAAATTTATTTTAAAAAAAAACAGATCATCAATAAATGATCCCTTACAGAGATAAGATAATACGGACTTCGGACCTTTTCCATTCAACGTAGAACAATCAGAAACAGGGGGTGGAGAGATATTTTTAATTATTTTTTCGATTCAAGGCATCGTTTCCGAGTTATAGGCCTTTTTTACTGTATGACATCACACACTCCTTGTTTCCCGAATTTATTTTCGACATACGGGCTTCGGACCTTTTACATTCAACGCAGAAGGGATAATCAGATCCAGGGATGTGGGGTGTACAAAATAAATCCATAAGTACGCGTGACAACATTGCCAAACTGTTTTTCCTCTTATGTTTTGTAGCGACCTACTTATGTAGAATGAATAATTTATTTTCAAGGTCAGTAAAGGAATGATAAAAATATTAATCACATCAAACATAATTTTTAGAATTTATCATTTAAATGGAAAACTTGCAAAAATTTAAATTTGTGGTTTTGAAAAAATCTGCAAAGGTTAGATAGCGGTTGAATTAGGAAAAAAATATATTAAAAAAATTCCTTCTGTCCTGCAACATAATATTTACATGATTTTTCCCTTTAATATTGTTTGGTTTTTGGCCTTGCTTTAAAAAAAATTGTTGACATTTTCAGATCCTTTCAAGTTGCTAGAATTCAGAATACAAATTAAAGAATTAGATCTTTTCTCTTGTTTTCAAGTCATTTAGTCTCACATTTATAGAAAACAAAAACAACTATAACCTTGTATTTTTTTTACTTGGCAGTAGTTTACCATTAGTAGGATTTTCCTAGACCCCGAAGGCTTGTAATAATATACGAGACAATATACCTCGTGGCTCACAGTGAGTGTCCTATTAGATATTTTCAGACCCTAATTCTATTTCAATTTTAAAAATTGACACACCAGGGTTTTTGGGTGTGCTCTTTTCAAATAATAATATAATAATTTTGATCCTGTAACACTTCCGGTTATTTCCGTTTCTACGTGAAATTTGAGGGTCGCTATTAACTCTTTCAGGAGCGTGAAGTGGATTTTTGGTACCTGTAAAGGGTAGTGTTTCCCTTTACAATCATGGTATACCAACAATTTAAAACATTTAATAGTATGTATTTCAGTTTTGCTGTTACATTTTGATCACTTCAAACAGCTACAATTTGTTCACTTAAATGGAACACCCTGTATTTTTTTCGGTTGTAGTGGGATCGCGGGGCGGAAATAGACAGACGAGGAGACGACGTGAAAGAAGGAAGATGTAAAGACGAATGCTCCTCCTCGAATTATTACTGTTATTCTCTAGAAGCTGTGTATTTGCTAATTGATCAGGTTTGTTTCGTAATAAACATATATCCGGACCTGCTGTTTTAGTTAAAACCTAGACAAACATTAAAAAAGTCTACATTAATAAGGTTTTCCAGGTTTGTTTGGTTAAGTTGAAATGACGGCGAAGCGATGGCCTTATTGACTAGTAAAAGGTGAAGATTCCATTATTTATTCATTTTTAATTACAGCCAAACAGATCTCCTTCACAGATAAAGTTTATTTCTCACGTCGTTCGTTCATTTTTAGTCATCGCGTATAATACAACCTCATCTTAATATCCGTATCAGAAAGTGGGTTATTTATGTTAATTGCCATCTCATAACATATGACGAACAATTTTATACTTTGTTGACAATACACGAATACGTTCATAACAGGTACATTTTCCAGATTAAATATAATAAAAGATAAGTGGAAATAACGAAAACATTCGTCGCGAAACCTTTATACAGTGTTTGGCGATTTAAATAAACTAGTATTTGGGTCATTTTAGATTACAGAGCCTTAGAAGATGGTTTTCTGAATACATGATGCTAAAGTTAAAAAATATCACGTATTCAGACATATCTTCAAAAAGATGTTTGATATAGATTGATGAAATTTAGACTAGTATTTTAAAAAACTAAAGAGAAAAAACCTTGGATTTCATTTTTCTCGCGCGCGCGATTCGCTTGGACGAGCTTCCCCCACCACCACGCCGGACATTTTACTTAGCGAGTGCCTTCTCTGGGCTCGTGAGTCGTTAATTTTCCACATTTTTCAATGCAATTCACGGAAAATCGTAGTTTACGTCGTAAACTTTATTTTGCGAAAAATTAAAGTCTTAATGTTTATAAACAATTAATTGCGCTACGATTTAAAAAAAATATTATCTTGGCTCCTGTTGGTGGTAGAGGGTGCTTTTTCTTTAAAAAATTTATATTTTTTTGCCAGCTATCCGTTGTATCTATTTTCGGTGAGGTAGCATAAATACCAACAATTTTATTCAAATTGTTTATAAGCGAAAAACGCACGGTTTTTAATGCACAATTTGAGAATGTTAATGTCAAAAAAACGTTGATATTTTTTAATAGGTCGCTTAATTACGTCTTTACAATGACGCTTTCGGAATCATGTTTGGTTGAAAATTAACGCCTGTACAGAGGCTTAAAGTTCATAACTTTTGCAGCCTCCGTTATAAACAAATCGAATTGTGCGAAAACTATTGCACCTACAGCGCCCACTTTTGGCACACTTTTAAAGTATGATAAAGCCCTCAACTTATCATAGGTTTTATAAAATTCTAACAATAAATGCGATAGTTATAAACAAATTAAAAAGTGGACACTTTCTTGTTTTTTTGCAATAACTTTTTTGTTTATTAACCGATTTTAATTTAACAAGTCTCATTTTGTAGATAATTTTAGTCCCTACAAGCTGTCTGCGAGTCATTTTTCTCTAAAATTTATGGTTTTCCCTGCAAAGTGAAAAAACTGTTTTCCTCACTTATTTGTTTAAATATAAATGTTAGCTAATAAAAGTTTTTGACTCACGAGATGAGAGATGTCTTGTATTATGTTCCTTTAGATAATTTTACAATAATATCGCGGATAGAATTTTTTTCGAGTTTCTCTTTTATTATCGCTAATTTTCCTGGTGTATTCCTACCAGGTAGTAAAACAAGCAGAGGTCTAAGCGTTTACATACTGAATGAATTTCACCTTTATTTAACTGACTATTGAGATGAAGTTTATTCTAATGATACCTACAACAATACACAATTAATAAATTAAAATAATAATGACGTAAATGATTATAATTTAATTATCGGTGTCCATTCAGACGTTACTCAAAAACCTATTAAATTATTATTATCCCAGAAATGCTTTTTCGTGTTCAAACAAATAACATTCGTAGACTTAGAAAGTGTGTGGAGGTGCAAAGTGCCCATATTGATAATGTATTTTGAATGTTTTCTTTCCTTTAAATTATTTGTTTTCTTACTTTAACTTAGTCTTGTTTTGTTTTTCTATTTTGTGTTATGTGTAAAGTGTGTTTGTCAAATTTTGTTAGTGAAAATTACATTAGCAGACAGTAAGATTTTCTAGGTTCTTAGTTTAAAAATATGTACGGTTTTAACATAGTAAAATATGTACAATTAAAAATTAAAAACAAAAAATGGTGGAGGTGCAGCTAGATGTGCACTGTGACATAAAATCACAAATATTTCCTAAACTGTTAATGTTACCGATTTGGACCAAGGGAGTATTATCGTTGGCAAATTCTCACGGACCTTATTTTTGATATTGACAGATTTCGATCATCATCTATGCAAAAATTCTGGGTTGTTAACCATTGGGCATAGTCCGTCCTTGGCATTCTGGGAATAATGAAGTTTTACTTACAACATCAAAAACAAGCTGTACGCATGTGTTATCGATCACCAAATTTGCTGAAGTTGATAGTTTAGAGACTGTAAATAAAAATATCTATTTAATTTTCATCTTTGAGGACCCGTAACTTGTTAACGAAGGCCCGTAAGAAAAAAATGTATATGAAGAACTGATATTATTTTGTACCTCATCTATTTGTATTCGACTTTTTTGTATCAAATACCCGGGACACCCTGTATAAATTTTGGATAAAACTAAGTTTTTTAAATTCAATTCAAAAGTATTTTGAAAGTAAAGCTTCTGTTTTACTAAAACTACTCCCATTAATTTTCATCGGCTTTCTTTAGCAGACAGTGTAGTGTAATGCAGTTCTGTTAAAACATTTTTCAAAATAACGGTTACTAATGACGTAGTTTTTCTTTAATTATATTAGAAAAGTATCTCTTTTTGGTCACTTGGTCACTTTTTTAATATTTTCGAGCTCTGTTATCTACAGGGAAGTCCATTATACACTGACAAATATAAGCATGGAATAACTATTTTATTTGTGGACAGATTTTGAATTTGTTTGAAGGATTACTATTAAGGAGGTTTATCGGATACGGAGGTCCGTCTAAAGTCTAATGAAAGTTTCTGTAGATTCGCTAGTGACTAAAGTAGAAAGCCTTTAGATTTGGCAACGTTGCACTTGGCTGGCGCGCTCGGCTCGGCGTTTGCTCGCTCCCGTTCGATCATTCCATTTGTTTGGACACCTGCGAATTTCAAATAATACACTACATCGAGACCGCGGTGTTGCCGCTATCACGCATATGGAGGATAAGTTAGTCAACGACGGCAGTTTGAAGGAGAATTATTATAAATTATGTATCTTACAAGTACCTAATCGATTTTTACAAGCTGTCATACGGTTCCTTAGATATCGGTTTCCTATTTATACAAGTTGCTGTGGAAACTGTTCGTCAATTGTTGCGCATTCTAAGTGGAAAGACCAAAAAAATCTGCATTCTCATAAGACTCTGTACTAAATCGTGAAAAATTATTTATTAATATCTCGTCTCTTAGGTATCCAAACTACTCATACTCATTTTTTTGTGAATATTTGTTCGTCAATTCCAAATCAGATAAACCTTATTTGTCATTTACAATTACACGGATTTGCAGCGTGTGTTTGTGTTTCACATTATTTGCGTACAAATTCGGTTGTTGCAAGTCAACGTTTATTTCGTCGACAGTTTCATCGTGGATTTTTTTGTTGCAATATCAGTAAGCCTGATACCATGCCAAAGTAGTATGCGGGATGGTGGAAAAAAATAATCGAAATTGTTCATTATCAGCGGAATGCATCGCTCACATTGAACAAAAAAATTAGATCATATAATAAAAATATCCAGTACAGTTTCTGTAAGAGTCGGTTTGCATGCATATGACTTTCGATAAAAACCCCAACGAAGCGACTTTTTTACCCACGGAAGTGTCAATTATTATGATTACGTTTTATTTATTTATTTATTTGTGTACATAAAAACCAATTTGTAATTAAGCTTGTTATGAATTATAGTTCTGTATTGTTACCGAAATTTTTTCCTCGGATTATAATTCGTTAAATAGCCTACCTCTTCTAAATATGCAATATTTATTCCTACTTATAAAAATTTATTGTACATTGAATTAATCAATCTTCCTTTTTTTGCTTTCAGTGCAACCACAGACAATCAACACACATGGTGAGTTATTATTAAGTTTTAAACTTTAATGTTCCTAGTGCTGCATAATTAACATACATTATTGGAAAGGAATACAATAAACGTTTATTTCATCGACAGTTTCATCGTGGATTTTTTTATCGCAATGTTACCATCAGTGAGCCTGATACCATGCCAAAATAATATAGCGGAATGGTCGAAAAATAATCGAAATTGTTCATTATTATTATCAGCCGCCTGCTTCGGAATATTACGCTCTGTTGGGGCCCAAATAGCCCTTTCCAAGTGGACTGTATATTAAAAAAAAAAACTAAACTAGACTCACCAAAATGTGATGCAATAGATGTTTCTTAAGTCGATGGCGAAAGGAAAGGGAATAAGGGAATGCACTCGACTTCAAAGGGGTTCACTTCACAAAACCAATTGTACACAACAACTATTAACTATTTCCAACGAACCGAAATACACAACAACCGCTCTGCGCGCTTGAATCGAACTAAAAAAATAATAAAAATAATAAAAAATATTTAACAAAAACCGGTGGCCGAACACCAGCGGTTCGCCAGGATATCTATTCTACATACCGGGCGTATTCACACTCATTGAACATAAATATTAGATCATATAATAAAAATACCCAAAAGAGCTTCTGTAAGACTCGTCGGTTTGTTTTAAGCATTTGACTTCCGATAACAAAAAAACCGCTTCACAGGTATTTTAAATTTCTTTATACAAAGTGTTTACAAAGTAGAGCCAAAAATAGTAAAAAAAAGTTCCTATAAACATTGGTCCCCCGAAGTACTGTTACTGCGATATGGGCCTCCAAAGGGGTCTTATCCTTTGGATATTCTTTAAAATAACTTTCTTTCTAATTAAGATAATGGAATGAAAAATTGTATAGACTAGGCGGTATCTGTTTTGGTTTGGGTGAATCGTATATCCACGGAGATTTTTGGCTTTTTGGCTTTCAAATAACACTACGAATGAAAATTTTTCTATGCGCATAAAGAAAAACGTGGGCTTAACTTTTGGCGGTACAATATGTTGAAAAAATTCGAAAATGTCATATTTTTCTTCCTATTTAATTATGTATCATTTCAAGAGTTGATTGTAAGCGAAGAGGAAAAAATGTTTGTAATTAAATTTTACAAAATATTACTAGTTACAAATCGAATGAATCATGATTATTATTGTTAAAATCGAAAAAATCGCCAAAATTGGGGTTAAAAAACATTGCTCTTTAAGGTTTTTTTTTTTGGGGTCTTTAAGTTGGGTATAGGACCTTCATACTTGGCTCAAGAAAAGTTCATGTTATGTAGAATCATCACACCAAATTTCATCAAAATCGGTTCGATATATTTTGCATAATAATTTTGCAATCCGGATTTTGAAATAAAAATTGCAAATTTTCAAAATTTTACACAGCAAAAACCCAGACCCTTAGATACTTGAAAATTTAATCACATATAGAAGGGCTCTAAAGCTTTCAAATGCTTTTTGAAAAATTCGAAACCGTCAATTAGGAGAGTTCTGGCGCTTGTTTAAACATTGGTCGAATTTTTGTACTTATAAGCAATTAGAATAACTTTGTGGATATTCAATCAAATCAAATTTTTTAAAGCAGATTTTAAAAGTTATTGGAAAGATGCTTCTTAAAAAAAACAGATCGAATGGTCAATTAGTTACGTAGTTATAGCCGATCAAAGTTAACCGTCATTTACACTAATGTTCTGGGACATCCGGGCTAATTTTTCGAAAAATACCTTTGGTATTCCGAGTTCTTACCAGGTCTAAGTTTGCAATACTTCATTGGCAACCTACTTTAAAACGCATTTAAAGTTATTTATGCAAGCGAGAAATTCAAGAAAATCGTACGGGTGGTGGTGGTGGGGGAAGCAGAGAGCGCGGCCGCTTCGGCCTGCTCGAAATTGAATCGGCGAGTTCAAAACCGCGACGCGCTTAAAAATTTTTAATATGTCGGCTTCTAGAGGTCCGATTTTGATGATTTTTTTTTAAATCGATGTCTCGCGATTAAAAAAAAACAATTAGCGTATTTTCAAATGCCTATCGTTAATAATTATTGGTCTTTCAACAGTCCGATAATTATTTATCTTTAAACTTCCTTTAATTATCAACTTTATTTTTTTATTGTATCAAAGGTAAGTGCATAAACTTATATACTGTTTATCAAGGATCAAAAACAAATTTATTTAAATATTCTAAAATGGTTTAAAAAACAATTATTTTCAAAATATGTCCAAAATTAGTAATTAATTAATTAATTAATTAATTAATAATTTAATCATCATTTCTTTTGTTATTAAAGTATAATTCAAATATTATTTACTGTTTAAAATACATATAAGCAAATAAGAAATTAACTCATTATATTACAAAAATACAAAGTTATAGTACAAAAATTCGACAAATGCTTAAACAAGCGCCAGAGCTCTCCTAATTGACGGATTCGAATTTTTCAAAGAGCGTTTGAAAGCTTGAGAGTCCTTCTATATGTGATTAAATTTTCAAGTATCTAAGGGCCTTGGTTTTTGCTGTGCAAAATTTTGAAAAATTTCAAATTGTGGATTGCAAAATTATTATGCAAAATCTATCGAACTAATTTTGATGAAATTTGGTGTGATGATTCTATATAACATGAAGTTTTCTTGAGCCAAGTATGAAGGTCCTATACCCAACTTAAAGACCCCAAAAAAATTCCCTAAAAAGCAATGTTTTCTAACCCCATTTTTGGCGATTTTTTCGATTTTTACAATAATAATCATGATTCATTCGATTTGTAACTGGTCATATTTTGTAAAATTTAATTACAAACATTTTTTTCCTCTTCCATTATCGCCTAAAATCAACTCTTGAAAAGATACATAATTAAATAGGAAGAAAAATATGACTTTTTCGAATTTTTTTAACATATTGCGCCCAAAGTTAAGCCCATGTTTTTTTTATGCGCATAGAAAAATTTTCATTTTTATTGATATCTGAAAGCCAAAAAGCCAAAAATCTCCGTGGATATACGATTCACCCAAATATGGACTCTTTGAATCAGATACCGTCTGGTACTAGTAGGTATTAATCATACCATAAGGGTCTTTAACTATCATAAGTTTCATCAAAATTGGTTATAAATAAAGATAGTTTTCTAACTACACTTAATAGAAATTTTTCGAGTTTTCTTTATTCCTTTGAATTATCAAGCAAATAATATTATTTTTTACTGAATTAGACTTTTATTTGAAGAAAACATTTCTTTACTTTTTTTTTCGAATTCTGCGAAGTTTAGTCAGAAGTAATTATTTTTTAAATAATGTATGGCTCAGAACAGCAACTGTTTGTAACATTTTCATATAGTAGGCATCTTTCATGGTGACAGTTTCATTGTAATGGTACTAATGATTGTTACCTTCGCGTGCTATCATTCAGTAAATTCTTACGTTTCTTTATTTTCTTGTGACTTTTGTGCTTGACTTTGCATTTCAATCGACTTTTTTACAACCATGAACCGTCATGAGCAGACGCTCTTCTTACACCCGCAGTAGGATTAGGTTAAAAAAATCCTAAAATTACTTCGTCTAAATCATGTCTACGCCTCCTTGAACGACCAAATTCACGATATCTTGGAGTTACGGCTCCTGATTCCCTCGTTCTTGCATGAATTTTCCCAAAAAATCTTGCAGAAGGTTGCTTTCTATCAGGGGAACGTTGCCGATACTCCTTTTGAGCCGCCAGACTATTTCCATTACAGAAACCATAAATAAAATGGATGTCGGCATATTCACGGTTGGTAAATGCATGGTGGTTCATTGTTGTAAAAATAATTACTATTTTTCGCTCTACTTTCACTTCCTTAATTTCTGTAGCAACTTTTCCAAACACCCTGTGTATAATATATTAATGTGTAAAATGAACTGACGAATGGAACAAACCACGAACTACGACGTAAGTCCTGATACCCCCGTTACCTCAGCATCTTATTTACTCACTGAAGTGTCAAATTATTATTATGATTACGTTTTATTTATTTATTTTTTTTTGTGTATATGAAATCCAATTTGTAATTATGCTTAGTATGAATTCTGTATTGTTACCGAAATTCTCTCCACTGTTTATAAGCCGTTAAATAGCCTCTTCTAAATATGCAATATTTTTGCCTGCTTATAAAAATTACTGTCTACATTGAATTAATAAATCTTTCTTTTTTTTTGCTTTCAGGTAAAGCACTGACACAAACAATCGACACAAAAGGTAAGTGATTAACTTTTAAACTTTAGTATTCCTAGTACTGCATAATTGACAGAAATTATTGGAATCATTCATTTATTTCATAAGTACTTACCTGGATTGAGCAATCGTTTTATTATGTAATTTGTTGCGTCTTTTTATTCAAATTGGAAGAATAACAGTGTCCTCGAAGATGTCCTAGTTGCTCTAAATAGACTTACTAACCCTTTAAAATATCAATCATTTATGTTATCTTTTGGTTTTACTATCTACGAATTTATCATCTCTCAAAAAAATAAAAATGCAATTTTTTATACAAGGTATAGAGCAGCTGTATTTTACCTTTGGAAATATATAAGTTTATTTTCTTATATTCCGTCGGCAACACAGACTTTTTTTAACCTTTTTCATAATTTTTCATACCCCGCTACTGGACAGTGTGACACTGAACAACCTGGTGCGTTAAGGTAAGTTCGTTCGAGTAGCGATTTGCGAATTTAACATTCGTTCATGCACATACGCGAAAACTAGTTACTTTTAAATTTCATGTGTTACTTGCTTTACCATGTCATGCCACAGGGCACAGTCAAGAATTTTTGGGCCGCAGTAAACAAAATTAAACAACATAACCTAAACTCACAAAATATTTTTGTGATTACATACGCAGGACATTAGACAAGACCAAGATATTCATATATAAACATTCTTCAACGATGAATGTGATAAATAACAGTGACTATCATTATGTTATCTATTGTCAATAGCGTAGAAAATTGTTAATCGCTTGGTATTTTATAATCAAAACAAAAAGAAGCCAGAAAAAATGTACTTTACGATTCTCGCAATATATTGAATTGAAGAAATTGATGTCAAAAATATTTTATTTCAACCAATCAAATTGAAATCCGCAAATCGCAACTCGCAAAATCGCTATTGCATGAACTTGCCTTTAGTCACAGAGCACAATAATAATGGAATAACTACAGTAATTTGACCTTTTTCCATTATCAACTTAGCACCGACATAAGCCTACTTTGATGTAGAAATTTTTATTATTGGGCGACCATGCATGCACTATTTTCTTTGGAGAGTATTTTCTCGAAAATGGCTAGCCTGACAGGTTTTCTACAAGAATACCCTTTTTATGTCATTTATACCGCGGAATCAGAATTTCTAAAGATAACTACAAAAATATCACGTTTAATAAAAATGTGAATAAATTAAATCGAGACCTACTCTGTCGGTACGCCCCTGATTAAAATAATAATTTAGTAAAAACACTGAAAAGTACCTACTATTAAAGGCAATTCACATGCCAAAATTCAGATGGCTATCTGAAACGGTTCCAGAGATATAAAATAAAACCTATATCGCGGTGCAATCTTTGAATCGCCATAGCAACCTTATGACGCATTTGCGGACCTATGTTCATATGAACTTTTCTTCATAGTTTAACATGTAGAATCACCCCTAGAATTATTCGAACGGTATTTCCGGACACCCTGTATAAAAACCTATTTGTAATTACGCTTAGTATGAATTATTATTGTTCTGTATTGTTACCGACATTCCCTCGTTAAATAGCCTACCTCTTCTAAATAAACAATATTTTTGCCTGCTTATATAAATTTATTGTCTACATTGAATTTTTCTTTTTTTGCTTTCAGGACAACCTCTGTCACAAACAGTCGCCACAGAAGGTGAGTTATTTGACAGAAATTATTGGAATGGAACACAATAATGTATTCCATCATTCATTTATTTCATTAGCACACCTGGGATTGAGCAAATCGTTTTCGTAGAACGTACGGGTATGTAATTTGCTGCGTTTTCCGTTCCAGTTGGAAAACTTTTGAAGACGTTGTTGGTGTTAACGATTACATACAACCACTTAGGCCGGTGTCCCATGCATCCGAAATCCGATATACGATATCCGAAAATATTTTAATTCGTACGAATGATAATATTATAATTCACATGCATCCGAAATTAATCTCATAGAAATCAAGTATAGAACCATGGAATTTATTACAAGATGAAGGTGAAACATTTTCAAATGACAACCATAGGTATATATTATAGAAAATATACGTAGTATTATATTTTCTACATTCGACATTATAATATAACATTTATTTGACTGTAAATATATCAAACAACAATCATAGTATGTTAAAAACTTAAAAAGTGAGGTTAAAGAACATACGATTTCGGATAAAAGTTAAAATTATTTCTACTTTTTCCGACGTCGTATGAATTTTAAAAATTTCGGATGAAAATAAGCGGTAAAAATTTGAATGTATATTAACCAATAGGAACACTTTCGGACCTTCGTATCGTCGGATTTCGGATGCATGGGACACCGGCCTTAGTCGGCGTTACCATTCTTTTGTTGATTCCTATGACTTGCTTATTCGTACTCTGGAATAATGCATTTATTATTATTTAAGATTATGTTGCTTTAATTGTAACGTTATAAAAATAGATACTTTTGAAAGATATTCATATCCAATTAAAAATATATATATACAGGGTGTCCCGTTTAAATCCCCCAGCTGGATATCTCGAAAACGGAAAAAAATAAATAATTTCTGAAAAATCCACTGTATAACAGTTTTGAAAAGTGGCGCACATGAAAGATCTCTAAATTATAAGCAACTTTTGTGATATAAACAATTTTCGAAAAGCCACTAGTTTCCGAGATACTNTATCTCGAAAACGGAAAAAAATAAATAATTTCTGAAAAATCCACTGTATAACAGTTTTGAAAAGTGGCGCACATGAAAGATCTCTAAATTATAAGCAACTTTTGTGATATAAACAATTTTCGAAAAGCCACTAGTTTCCGAGATACTTGGATTTGAGGTTTTTTTTTCCAGGAGGAAGATTTTTTAAAGTTAAGTTTTTAGGCATAACTACTGCAGATTTTCGTCTTATTAGATTGGTTTGAATAAAACAGTGATGAATTAATTTTATTTAACTAACAGATATCACAGGAAATTACTTCATTTCTTGTTTACCCAAATCAAGATAAAGTAATATTTATTTAACAAAAACTGATGCAAAATTAACAAAAATTACAAATACTTAATATCCATAGTCAGTCCATATGATGTTATTTAAAAACTGGTCGTTTTCTTGAACCTTCTTTTGTTTTCTTGAAGTGTCAAAGTTGATTACATATTACTATTACCATAACTACAAGTCTACACCTTCAACTTTGACACATTTGACATTTATTCAGTATGGTCCAGTACACGAATGAAGAAAAGCTCGACATAATTTTAATATTCGGTGAATGCCGTAGAAATTCCAGAGAAGCAGAAAGACTTTATCAGGTACGTTACCCAAACCGTCGACATCCCGATCATAAAACCTTTTTGTCTTTATCGACGAATTTGCTTCATTGTGGTTCTTTTAACAAAAAGAAGCATCGTAGAAACACTGTTACAAATGATAGAAACACTGCCGTGGTATTAGGTAAGGTTGAAACTAATCCACATACCTCGGTGCGAGCTATACAACAAGAAACGGGGATTTTCGGAACATCGGTCCATAATATCTTGAAGCGAAATATGTATCATCCTTACAAAGTACATCTTTTACATAATTTACGTCCTGGTGATATGCTACGAAGACTAAATTTTATTGCAGAAATGGAAATAAAGGCTCAAGAAAACGACCAGTTTTAAATAACATTATATGGACTAACGAGAGTCGAATTACAAAAAATGGTATTTTCAATAGACATAATTGCCATTTCTGGCATGACCATAACCCTAGATGGACCAAAGACAGACATTTCCAAACCACGTTTTCTATAAATGTATGGTGTGGTATATTAATTGGACCCTATTTGTATGAGGAAAATTTGAACGGTCGCAATTATTTACAATTCCTTCAGACCCAACTAAATGTTCTTTTGGAAGAAGTTATGAGACAAAATATCTGGTTCCAACAAGACGGGGCACCAGCTCATAACGAAAGGAGGGTGCAAAATTTTCTTCATGAATATTTTCAGGGGCTATGGATAGGCACCAATGGTCCAATGAGGTGGCTTGCCCGCACCCCTGATTTAACCCCACTGGATTTTTTCTTGTGGGGTTACCTAAAGAACCTAATTTACCAAACAGAAATTGAAGACTTGGCTGGCTTGTGCAATAAGATTTATGCGAGCTGTGCATCTATTCCTCAAAATGTTTTATTACGGGCAACTGATACCGAACTATGTATTCATGAGAATGGCGGCAATTTTGAACACTTATTGTGACTCGTGTATTATGTTAATTTAGTATCGTTTATTTGCAATTTTTGTTAATTTTGCATCAGTTTTTGTTAAATAAATATTACTTTATCTTGATCGAAAAGACTATGATTTGCGTAAACAAGATTAAATGAAGTAATCTCCTGTGATATCTATTAGTTAAATAAAATTAATTCATCACTGTTTTATTCAAAGCAATCTAATATGACGAAAATATGCAGTAGTTATGCCTGAAAACTTAACTTTAAAAAAATCTTCCTCCTTTGAAAAAATTACCCCAAATCCAAGTATCTCAGAAACTAGTGGCTTTTCGAAAATTGTGATATAAAGTTGCTTATAATTTAGAGATCTTTCATATGCGCCACTTTTCAAAACTGCTGTCAACAAAATATGTTTTCGGATTGCAGCGACATCTATACCTGCACTGAGAGGAACGGGATTTGTACTCACAAATAAACAGGGATGGGCGGGTAGACAATGTCGACGTAGACAATGCAATTGTCTACGCGTAGACAATGATCTAGATGAAGACTTAATTTGGAAGAGTCGACAATGTAGACAATGTCGACAATGTCAACAATTAAAAAACTCTCAAAACTAGAAAAAGGTGTGGTAGGTATGTACCTCAAAAAAAGAGTTTCGTAAGGCTGTAACTCGTGATTCTTGCAAAAAAAGAAAAATTGAAAATTTGGAATTTGAAAAGTACCTACCTATCAGTATCACAACCATCTATAAAAAAATGTATAAACCGAGTACAAAAGATCAAACAATATCTGCCGAGAATTCACGAGAAAAAAAAAGTGNTGGTAATCGATTTTTCATACCCCGTGAAAATTCCGATTTCCAGCTGTCGGACTGAAAAAACGCGGCTTGAAATTTGTCGGACAACAATACTTTTTGACTGAATTAATTATTTACAATTAATTTTACTAAAAATTAAGTATGTGGTAATTGATTTATTTTCAATACCCCGTTATTTTGGCATGTTTCGACCGGTAGACACGTCAATGTCGGAAGAATTTCTGTCGGACAAATTTAAATCCGTATTTGCAACAAAATTTCCAGTAACTGAAGCTAAAAATAAAAGATGTGGTGTTGACTTTTCAAAACCCCGGGAAATTGCCATGTTTTTGGACTTTTCTGAGCGGAAAAGCGGAGGAATCGAGAAAAATCGCAAAGGAATAATGTGGTAGACTCGTCAAAAGGATACGCCTCAGGAGTTATAAAGTATGTGGTAATCAACTTTCCAGAGGGGGCCTGTACTATGGACTATAACCCTAGATGGACCAAAGACAGACATTTCCAAACCACGTTTTCTATAAATGTATGGTGTGGTATATTAATTGGCATATTAATTGGACCCTATTTATATGAGGAAAATTTGAACGGTCGCAATTATTTACAATTCCTTCAGACCCAACTAAATGTTCTTTTGGAAGAAGAAGAAGTTATGAGAGAAAATATCTGGTTCCAACAAGACGGGGCACCAGCTCATGCTTGCCCGCAACCCTGATTTAACCCCACTGGATTTTTTCTTGTGGGGTTACCTAAAGAACCTAATTTACCAAACAGAAATTGAAGACTTGGCTGGCTTGTGCAATAAGATTTATGCGAGCTGTGCATCTATTCCTCAAAATGTTTTATTACGGGCAACTGATACCGAACTATGTATTCATGAGAATGGCGGCAATTTTGAACACTTATTGTGACTCGTGTATTATGTTAATTTAGTATCGTTTATTTGCAATTTTTGTTAATTTTGCATCAGTTTTTGTATGATTTGCGTGAACAAGATTAAATGAAGTAATCTCCTGTGATATCTATTAGTTAAATAAAATTAATTCATCACTGTTTTATTCAAAGCAATCTAATACGACGAAAATATGCAGCAGTTATGCCTGAAAACTTAACTTTAAAAAATTTTCCTCCTTTGAAAAAATTACCCCAAATCCAAGTATCTCGGAAACTAGTGGCTTTTCGAAAATTGTTTATATCACAAAAGTTGCTTAAATTTAGAGATCTTTCATATGCGCCACTTTTCAAAACTGCTGTCAACAAAATATGTTCTCGGATTGCAGCGACATCTATACCTGCACTGAGAGGAACGGGATTTGTACTCACAAATAAAGCTATTTATTGAAACTATACAGTGGATTTTTCTGAAATCTTTTGTCTTTTTCCGTTTTCGAGATATCCAGCTGGGGAATTTTAAACGGAGCACCTTGTATATAAACCCGACAAAAAAATTAATGGAACAGAAAAATTTTAAAATTTTTTTAGTGATTTTTGAAAGGCTGTAACTTTATGAATAATGGCCGTATAGACAAAAATAAATCTTGAAGCTATTGTTGAGACGAAAAATCTTTCACTTCCGGCGCAATCAAAGGAAATAATGCAAGGCAAATATTTTACAAATTTTTTTTTCAAGACTACCCATGGGCTCAGAAAATTTTTTCTGGCTTAATCAATATCAGGGTCATTTAGCCTGACACTCCGGTTCAGTTTGTTTTTTTTATTTTCTTTCTTTTTTATCATCGATATCTCATAAACTGATCGTACAGCGAACGGAAGGTGGGTTTTGAATCAATCCTCTTGAAGGGCCTATTGTTATGTTTCAGAAAAATATTTTTTTTAACTCAATATATGCCCATGAAGCCTGTTAACTTTGAAATCTATCGGTAGAACCGTTTTCCTTTCCTGAATCGTCAAAGTTTTATAAAAAATTAAAGGAGCAGGTTTATTGCTCCTCAGATATCAGTCAATGATTAGGATGAAAAATTTTTTTTGCGTTTTTTTTTTTCCCATTTTCATTCAATTTTGGAAAAAAAATTCAAAATTTTGAAAAAAAATTAAAATTTTTTTCTTGTATATGTAAGACCTGAAGATCTCTTACTGTTTAATCAAATAATCTGGGCATCTTTTAATTTTCTGTTGCTTACTTATTGAAGCTATTTAAAATAAAAAGATTTGATTTTTCTTTATATTTAGTATATTAATGTGTGAGATGAACTGACGAACGAAAGAAACCGCGAACTATGACGTAAATCTTGATGCCCCCGCTACCTAAGCGTCTTATTTACTAACAGAATTGTCAAATTATTATTTTGATTACGTTTTATTTGATTATATTTTCCAATTCGTAATTAGTATTCGCTTAGTATGAATTATAGTTCTGTATTGTTACCGAAATCTCTCTTCTCTGATTATAATCCGTTAAATAGCCTACCTCTTCTAAATATGCAATATATTTGCCTGCTTAGAAAAATTCACTGTCTATATTGAATTAATCATCTTTCTTTTTTGCTTTCAGGAGGAGCATTGACACAAACATTCGACACTCATGGTGAGTTATTTTACTAATTTTTAAGCTTTAGATATCCTAGCACTGCATAATTGATTAAAATTATTGAAAATAATGTGTTCCCTCATTCATTTATTTCATAAGCAGTTACCTGGGAATAAGCAAACCCCTTTCGTAGAACATCAGAATCAGTTTTTCATGCAAATGCATTTTAAGGACATGAAACTAGTATACATATTTTGCTTGTAAAATGTCTGGGGATTCTAAATATGGCACCTTTTTTTATTTTAGTCAGTGGCGTATCATTTATTTCGAAAAGGTTCTCTGTAACGCCACTACATTTTTAAATCAACTCAAACTGCACCTAATGATCAAGATGTTATTCGTCATGTAAAATTAGATAACAATTGCTATTATATAGATATATTTTAGTTAAAACTAAGTTCATTTTTTTATAATTCAACACCCTGTATCTTGACAGTAAAGCGCCTGTTAATGTCTTTTTATCAAAACTTCTGCCATTAATTTTCATCTTAGAATCTAGGTATAGAAGGCTCATTCTTTGGCAGACATTATACGAATAGTGTAATGCAGTTCTGTTAAAATATTTTTCAAAATAATTTATTTTTTTTGTGAATATAAAAGCCAATTTGTAATTACACTTAGTATGAATTGTAGTTTTGTATTGTTACCGAAATTTTCTTCACTGATAATAATCTGTTAAATAGCCTGTTTATACCTCTTATAAATATGCAATATTTTTGCCTACTTATAAAAATTTACTGTTTACACTGTATTAATCAATCTTTCTTTTTTGCTTTCAGGAGGAGCATTGACACAAACATTCGACACCTATGGTGAGTTATTTTATTAATTTTTAAACTTTAGTTATCCTAGCACTGCATAATTGATTAAAATTATTGGAAATAATGTGTTCCAACATTCATTTATTTCATAAGCAGTTACCTGGGAATAAGCAAACCCCTTTCGTAGAACATCAGAATCAGTTTTTCTTGCAAATGCATTTTAAGGACATGAAACTAGTATACATATTTTGCTTGTAAAATGTCTGGGGATTCTAAATATGTCACCTTTTTTTTATTTTAGTCAGTGGCGTATCATTTATTTCGCAAAAGGTTCTCTGTAATAACTACTGCACGCCACTAGATTTTTAAATCAACTCAAACTACACCTAATGATCAGGATGTTATTCGTCATGTAAAATTAGAAAACAACTGCTATTATATAGTTATATAGATATATTTTGGTTAAAACTAAGTTCAATTTTTTATAATTCAACACCCTGTATCTTGACAGTAAAGCGCCTGTTAATGTCTTTTTATCAAAACTTCTGCCATTAATTTTCATCTCAGAATCTAGGTATAAAAGGCTCATTCTTTGGCAGACAGTATACGAATAGTGTAATGCAGTTCTGTTAAAATATTTTTCAAAATAATTTATTTTTTTGTGAATATAGAAGCCAATTTGTAATTACACTTAGTATGAATTGTAGTTTTGTATTTTTACCGAAATTTTCTTCACTGATAATAATAGCCTGTTCATACCTCTTATAAATATGCAATATTTTTGCCTACTTATAAAAATTTACTGTTTACACTGTATTAATCAATCATTCTTTTTTTGCTTTCAGGAGGAGCAGTGGATCAAATAATCGATACAGGAAGTGAGTTATTGTTAATTTTTAAACTTTAGTATTCCTAGTCCTGCTTAATTGAGAGAAATTATTGGAAAGGAACACAATAATGTATTCCATCAATCATTTATTTTATTTATTTGGCTTAAACGATAATCTGATTCTTCTCATTAAATCCTATCTTTCTCAACGTGAACTATATGTTTCATACAACGGATTTCAATCTGCAAATTTTACAGCGACATCTGGAGTACCCCAAGGATCAAATTGAGGGCCACTTCTTTTTATTTTATTTATTAATGATTATCTCTGTCTTTAAAATCTAATCATCTATTTTTTGCCGACGATTTGAAGCTGTTTCTCAGTGTATCTAATTTGGAAGATTGTTTAATACTGCAAGAGCAGGTAGATCTTGTAAGTAGATGGTGTGAGAATAATCAATTACCTATTAACATAGATAAGTGTAAGATCTGCTCGTTTACATCCAAAAAAGAACCATTAGTATTTGGCTACACCCTTGAAAATGCGTTACTAGCACGTTGCGATAATGTTAAGGATTTAGGTGTAATATATGATAATAGACTGTCCTTCACTGATCATATCAATACAATTATAAATGCAGCTAATAGAGCTTTGAGTTTTATAGTCAGAAATTCAAGTTCTTTTAATGACGTTACTGCATTGAAGTGCCTGTTTTACTCATTAGTTCGTTCTAAATTAGAATACTGCAGCCTTATATGGTACCCTTACTACCAGATACATACTAACAAGCTTGAAAAAGTTCAACGTCGTTTTCTTAAATTTTTAAGCTTTCGAATTGATGGTTATTATCCAAATAGAGGATATGAACATAAGCTGCTGTTAGATCGATTCGAAATGCAGTCTTTGCAGAATAGAAGAATACTCAAT